TAGTTCAGGGTTCTGTGCTATTTCCTTAGTTTATGACATTGATAAAGTAATGGGACAAGTGAAGTAGTTCAGGGTTCTGTGCTATTTCCTTAGTTTATGACATTGATAAAATAATGGGACAAGTGAAGTAGTTCAGGGTTCTGTGCTATTTCCTTAGTTTATGACATTGATAAAGTAATGGGACAAGTGAAGTAGTTCAGGGTTCTGTGCTATTTCCTTAGTTTATGACATTGATAAAGTAATGGAACAAGTGAAGTAGTTTAGGTTCTTGTGCTTTTTCCTTAGTTTATGACATTGATAAAGACATAACTAGTAAATCGGTTAAATATGCAAATGATACTAAATTAATGTGTATTTGTAACTGTATTAAAGATGCTGTAGTCTTGCAAAGAGATTTAAATTGTTTGACAGGTGCATTTTTTATCTAAATAAAAAGTAAGATCATGCATATTGGTTATCATAACATTAATTATTATTAAAACCTGGCATAAGAAACTGTTAAGTGATATTAATAAAGAAAAGGATCCAGGCATAGCTATTATAAGATTTCTCAGAGTCTTCTAGATGATGTATTTTAGCTAATAAGAAAAACAACATTTCAGGTTGTACACATAGAGTATTGAGAAATATTTAGCTGAAGGATGTCATCAGATGATTCTCTAACTTACTAGTTACACCACATTCAGAGTATTTGTGTTCACTTTTGGTTGCCTTAATTCAGAAAAGATTTTGGGTTCTTGAGAAGGTTTCAGAGAAGAGCTACCAGTATGGTTTCTCAGCTTGAAAGCGGTTATCATTTATGGAATGTGTTGATATATCTTGACATGTTTTTACTGGGGAGATGAATGGTTTCTGAGGATGTGATTGAGGTTTTGTTTTTTAGGTTTGTTAGAGGTTTGGAATCCATTCCAGATGACATTTTAAAACAATTTGCAGGCAGTGAGACTGGAGAGCAGAAATTTAGATTAGAAAACTCGGAGATCTATCCAAATGAAGCACTGTCACTTTTCTAATACAGTGGACATCTGGTAGGGTAGTTTGCTTTTAGGTGTGTTAGAAGCTACAACAATAAAGAATCTTAAAAGAAGACTAGATGAGAAGTTTAGAGTTTATAGTTTGACATGTGAAAGGGGATGGATGTCTTTAAGGTAGTTTGGAGTGGGGGAGGTAGTAGAATATTGGATAGCTAAGATTGGTCAAAAGACCCCCTTCCATTGCAAATGTAATAAAATCTCTAGTAATTGCCATTCTTGTATGTTGTGATGAAAAAAATTATGTTTGGATTATTCTTTTAGCTTTTAAACATTATTCTGTCAATTAAATCATTGTCAGTATATTTTTCAGTCATAAAGAAAGTAATTTTGAGATATATATATATTTTTAATAAACCTGTAATAGGTAAACTACAGTAAGTTTATTAAAAGTACCTGAAACACTAAAGTTTATCCTCAAGTTTCTAGAATATTGTCTACCAGAAATGTTCAGTTGAATTAGCTGTATGATAATTTAATCCTAATTTTGACCTGGATCACCTAAGGGTGCTTTCGATTATCAAGTGTCAGAAACAAATGTTCTTTACTAGCCACTGCTCATGAAGCAGCTACTACATAAAGTGGTTTTATATATACTGCTAACTGGTTTTGTTTTTTAATTAAACTTTGGGGTAAAAAGTTTTATTCAAATACCTACATTAAACAGTGGATTGGAAAAAAGTAATCAATTTAAAAGTTCGTATTGATCTTATCATTTATTTCTGAAATTTTCACACCCAGTTCCTTGTTTAGGTTTGTCAAATATCAAGGTTTTATTCTACAATTGAAATTATAGTGTAGTCTTGATGTATAAGATCTGACAATGAAATTTCATTTATGTTAGAATTAGAAAAACCCCGATAAATATAGATAATTTCTCCCAAATCCAGTTTATCAGACATTACCTCCAGTGCCCTCTTTACCCAAATATACATGTAATCTTCTCACTTAACTCTCTCAGCACGAACTCAGTCCCTGAGACCAACCTCATAACCATTTTGTGCTTGTTGTAGTTTACATGCTATGACTTTTAAGTTAATAAATGTGTGTTAATGAAATTTGACAGATTATCAGTAAACATTACAATGCTTTCATATGCAAAATATCACATCTTTTTTATAAGTCTTAAGGTTTGTAAAGCAA